CTTCTTAAAATGCGACTGAATTATTGTGCTAAATTTACTATAAGCTGAATTAGCATCGGTACATTCGTATATGTCCATCCAAGTTTCGTCCTTTAATAAGGTTTGAAACTTGTTTTTGTTAATACTATTAAAATTGCGTTGACTATGTTTGTTACATTTTGTTTTATCACTGGTAAGAGATTCTTTGATATAGAAAATAGGAAAGTGGTCAGAGATATCTGTAGTTAACAGACCTGATACATAGGAATCGTTCAAAGAGTTGGTCAGAATATTATCTATTAATGTTGCTGATTTATTTGTTACTCTAGATGGTTTTGAAATAGTAGGGTAAGTGTTGCATGAGAACAAAGTGTTAAGAAAGTCAGCTGTTAAGTGGTGACTACTATTTTTAAGGAGGTCGATATTAAAGTCACCTATAAGGTAACACGTTTTACCTTCGTTATTTATAATGTCAAGGCTTACTGAGAGTTGACTGATAAAGTTCATTATGTCTGTGGCAGGAGGTCTGTAAATGCAACCTAATATTATGTTTTTTGTGGGACATGATGAGGACATAGGAATTTCTATGAAAAGGGATTCGGTCTCATCTTCTGAGTTTATAATAAGGTCTTTTCTTTCTACAAAATTCAAGTTTTCACGAATGAAGAGGGAAACTCCGCCACCTACTCTATTTGACCTACAGTGGTGAAGAGAGACATAATTTTGCAAATCATATAGCTGTAAAGTTGATTCCGTTAGCCAAGTCTCAGTCAGACCAATTACAGAGAAGCCATGTTTGAGCGAAGATAGGTAATGAGAAAAATGGTCATGGTTAAGGGGTAGACTCCTGATGTTAAGGTGGAAAATGGAAAAGGATTCATCATTAAATGTCATGTTGTCGCACATATTGTTGAATGAATCTTCAGAGTAATATCTACATTGATTGACTGCGTTCGCTGCTGTGGAACTATTAAAAAAGTTTATATCAGGGTCCCAATTATCCGTATATTTCATTTCATTTTCAATGTCTAACTTAAACGGATTAAAAACCATATTTGAGTAATCACATCTATCGTTTGTACTGTGAATGCATTTTAAAAGTTCGGTGTCTTCTAGGTAACAGAAAGGAAAGAGCACACAGCATTCAGAACATATCCAAGATTCCCAGTACTGTTGGTTTTGTTTGGTAATTGGAGTGCATTGTTTATGAAATGTATTTCTACAGCAAGAACAAAAAACAATATTCTTCCCGTCACAGCACACAGACTTATTGCAGTGAGGACAGCATGTCTGAGTTCCGTCTTTACAATGAGCAGTAGTGATGTGAGACATACATAAAGTTAGAAATAATTTAGTGCTGCATACTTAGTCTGGTATTCACTTTACACTTCAGTTCAAATTGTTGCTTAGCCTCGATGCCAGACCCAGAACACGCAAGGCCTAGAGTTAGCCATCTGGGCCTCAGGGGAACTGTGGTATAATTTCCTTGGGGCATGTTGGTCCTAGAGTTGAGGAACTGGCCTATATATAATTGTAGGCCTGGAAACGGTCTGGCACCCAGGCTAGTTGGCCCTGGAGCTGAGGAACTGGCCTATGTAGGTCCTGGAAACAGTCTGGTGCCCAGGCTAGTTGTGTTGCTGTGTTGTGTTACATTTTGTATGACACACTATCATCTGATTAAGGTACTGTGATTATTTTACAGAACACACCAGATGGAGAGTACATTCTAGACAGACACCCTGGACACAGGAATATTGTCATTGGGGCTGGCTTCTCAGGTAACTCCTATGCTTATTTCCATCTCGTAAACAGTTGTTGCCATTTGAAAAAGTCGATGCCATCTCGCGGAACACTTTGTTACAGAATTGTATCTTAAAAAACGTGTAAGAGGAAGGATTTAAACTGGTACACACGACTTACTAACAGTAAAAGCACAGAAGCTTTCAGAAGGCATCCACCATCTTTCTTCAGCTACCAGCTAGTTTAAATCCTTCCTATTACTATGGATTCCCCACTACAGTTTAAATCTTGTTTAAAGTTAAACTTTTGATCCAAGATACCTTTGACCCAGTGTTGACGTCACACTTCAAAGAAGCCACATGACAAGCTTCACTGGGTCAGTCTACTGAGGAAGACCAGAGTGTTTTGTGTTGGATCAAAAGTTTTAACTTTTAAGATGTAACTACCAACACAGACGAACTTTCATGATAGTTTAAACCTTAATCAAATGTTTCTTAAAACCATTATTTCTACAGGGCATGGATTCAAGCTGGCACCCATGGTGGGGAAGTTACTGTGTGAGCTGACGTTGGACAAACCTCCCAGTTTGGACATGGCCCCCTTCAGACTGGACAGGTTCACTTCCAGAAAGGCTGTGTCAAAACTGTGATGTGTACGTTAACATTACATGCAAGTCTACTGAGATACATATTAAATGTTGCTGTTTTTTGGTGCAATGGTAAAAAATGAAATTATGCATAATTCATAATTATTTATCTAGAAATATATGTCGAAAGAAATACCACTACCAAGTAAGTAGGTAGAAACATCGTAAAAACGAAGAAATAATTACGTAACAGTATTCATGAGGTTGAAAGAAATGTACTGCAATTTTTTTTATTCATCATTGACTGTACAACTTACAAAAACTGCCGACCACAAGACTTCAACATGATTTTCTTCTCACTTCAGCTGTTACACACTAATGCATGTATCCTACAAGTACAATGTCATTATCATTAATTATATCTTTGTTAAGTTTTATTCTGGTATGTCGATGACTAAGTTATCATCACCGTCATAAGCATCGTCCAAGTCACTGGGTAAACTCTGGGAAGACATGGACTCATCCATCGGGGCTTCCTGCTCACTGTAGAAGAAGTAAAGAGAGAGAGGGAAGTAAGGACAAATGTACGACAGTCAGTCTACAACTACATGTATACACTAAATAATCTGCTTCTTGCTCACTGTTAATTGTAGAGCAGAGAGAGTCTTAATGTGAGGAAAAATGTATGGCAGTCAGTAAATAATCTACCTCTTTGAAAATTAGCAGAAAGGTTCATCTGTGTCTGACACTTTTGACCAATTGCTTAGGTTGTACTCTAAGGATCTTGTTATTTAAGTTGATGATTGCTGTAGTTGATGAAGGATGCAATATGAACAGCTTAAAATTCTGTAGGACTTTTTTTTGTTGTGTTGTAACTTACGTCATAACTACACTATAATCTACAAATAAGTACACTGAAAAGAATACACTGCAGTAAGTACACAAAAACTCTTGGTCACCTTTCTGGGTTGCCGGAGCCCCCACTGAAGAGCTCATGTGGCACAGTGGCAGACGGGGGGCCGGGCATCTGTAAGGACGTCAGCTGCCCCTTACCAGAGGACTCACCATGGTCTTTGGCTGCCTTCGATTTGCTAGACTTGGTTGAGGCTAAGAATAAAGATAGTGCAATCAAGAACACATAACAACAATAACTTAGCAACCACAGTACTGGACTACTGGCTATGTAAGTGCCCCCCCCCCAAAAAAAAAGATCACAAAAGTGTCAATTGTTGGTGCTATAAGTATGAATAAACTATAAGACTATCATGTCTTATAAAGCATATACAAGACTAATAAAGCATATACATGTACATGTAATTGTTTCCAATATACTAGTAGCTTACATTTCTTGGGTCTCTGTTGCTGTTGTTTTCTTGGTCTGCCTGGCCCGGGGCTCTCGCTCTTCACTCTCTGTGCTGAAGGGAAGTAGCCTGGAAATCCAGCCATGGACGGACCCTGTGGAGAGCATGGAGAATTGAGTATTGACATTACAAGGAAGAAAATGTGAACCTTGATGTGTTCAGGCATAAAAGTAGCATGCAGCAGTGGCAAATGTTAAATACCTTTGTATGTCTTACAATATTCACATGAATTGAGCATTATGAAGTTGGTAAGTGTAAATATGTTAACAAACATATCTATAGAAGCGACACCTGTGCTGTGCAATGTGAATCAGTCAGAATTGCCCTGAGGAAGGTAACAGACGGTCACCGAAACATCAGCTGAAAAGAGCCTCTTTACTAGAATTCATTTGTATGAACTATGATGATGATTTGTATGTCTCCTTTCATCAATGTACAATAGAATAGGGGTCTGCTCATCTACTTTTCACATCTCAATGACAAACAATGAAACTCGGAAGTACATGTAATAAGAAAGAAGAGAAGTTACCATCATGGGTTGTGCCATGGCGCCAGTCTGTGGGTACCCCAGGGGTCCAAACATGCCCGACATGGTGCCGGGGTTAAACATGGGAGGGTAGGACGCGGTCTTCTTCCTGGAAATTCACAACATTTGTCGGTAATCAAATTATGCAAAGCCGTCTGATTTTTTTACCAATTAATGTCGAAAGGTATACAAATGTAGCTAAGATTGTCAGTTTTCTCTTCTCTAGTCAGATTTGAGAGTTAATGTTATAATATATATTCCAAAGCTATGTGAAATGCAGTACAGGTAGTTCTACAACTCTATATACTATTCCCCGATCAGATTTAACCCCTGTAGAATTACATTTTGTAGCTGTAGTTTTTATAATGCACAACTTCTTCACAACTTCTTTGGAAAAAAAAGGCCTACACTATGGCCTGCAAGGGCTGTGCAATATGGTACAACATGTAGATGTTAGTTGCATTTTTACCAGATATAAACCGGACATGACACAAACTTCAGAGTGACTCACTTGTGTTTGGAGCCTTCAGTCCCTGTGACCTTTTGTCCTTCTGTGTCACTAGCATTATCTGATGATGCTGTCTCCTCTGAGTCTGAGAGTAAAAGAAAAAAATTCATGATTGGATAACCTGACAACTAGAAAACTGTGATTTCATTTACACATAGCAACTGCATCACTGTAACAAAACATTGTGCCTTCCATTTTTCAATATCATACTACATGTAGTCGTCCCCTAGGTGCTACAAGATATTGTACATATTCATAGCAAACACACCTTTTGAAGGGTAATTCACATACCTGAAGATGATTGGTCAATACATTCATACTGCAACAGCCTATCCAAGAGGAAGCTGTGGAGGAAAAAAAGAAGGCAAAAATTGTATCCAGTGAAAAAGGAATAGAAAATTTTAATGCTGTTAAACATTAAAACTCCGAACAGATTAAGATGATTGAATTTTTTTTTTTATTTGTTATGTTCCTACCTTTTATCTCTGTTGATCTTCAGCAGTTTCCTCTGTGATTTTCTCAGCTCCTCCTGGAAACATTCCTGCTCCTAAATAAAGAATGTGACCAACATCATTGGTAGACAAAAGACAGTCAAGTAAATTTGTTTACAATCACATTAGCATCACATCGGCAGTTTCCATTATAATTGTAGACAAGCTGTCAACCGGTATCACTTTTAAAAACATTGTAACCCCCTTAAAAGCAGACAGATGAACTAGTAGACATGCACAGCTTCCAGTAGACTGTAATTGAGTTGGGTTGACTTACGTAAACCAAGAACTTCAACTTCCTCTTCAAGTTCTTGTACTTCTGTCTATAGTTGACCTGGTCATCTTGGGAGTTCTCAGCTGAGATGGGCAGAAAGCTCTTTTTGTCAGTGATACCATCAATCAATCAATCAATCAATCACTTTATTGAACAACAATGGACACTAAGAAGTCTTATCTAATCATCTAAGACTAAGTAACAGTCACCATCAATCATTCAATATCACCACTAGATAAATCATTCACGCACGGTTAGTACTTTACATTGTGTAGAAGAAGAAGAGAAAAGTAATACACATGTATCTTTAGGTAAATGTGTACTGAGTCAGTACACATTTACCTAAAGATACATGTGTATTACTTTTCTCTTCTTCTTCTACACAATGTAAAGTACTTGCTTTCATTGGCTTTGTATCAATTGAAATACGTCGATGAAGGTTACACATCCAGGTAATACGATATGCCAAAAAACAGTTACTCAAGCAACTGGATATGATTTTGAAAACGTCAGACGTTTCAGCTAGTATCCACTAGCTTTCGTCAGTGACTGAGAGACCAGAGGGGAAAGCAGGTTTATATACACAACCTGTTGATTGATATGCAAATAAAGTGAAGACAAATTTTTGGAAGTCGAAAAAGGAACAAAAGTCAGACAAGTCAAGACAAGATGATGCAAATTAGTCTGAAAGCTCCTGTTATACAGGACAGGAGCTTAAGTGTTGTCTGTCCTCGGGGCTGGGAGTGCCAAATCCCAAGTGCCGGAAAGATCGACCCGTAGCCCCCCTTCCCTGTTGAGGGTGGGGTTGTACATTCTTTCATACAAAGCGCTCAAACCTTCAGATCAGTCTAAGAAAACCCAGAAGTGCAAACCATTGACCAACAAAAACAAGGCCAACATCACTATTCCGTATGTCCAAGGAGTATCTGAGAAACTCCGACGGATCTTCCAAAACTTCAACATAGCCACTAACTTCAAACCTCACTCAACCCTCAGACAAAGACTGGTACACCCTAAGGACCGACCTCACAAGGGTACCAAGGCGAATGTTATTTACAGACTCAAATGTGAGGAGCCCAATTGTAACAACACCTACATCGGAGAGACAAGTCGACCGCTTAAAGTAAGGTACAAAGAACATTGCCGACCTAGTGCCAACGGCTACTCCTCAGCTATTTCCACCACCTACAACACAACCAGGGTCACTCTTTCAAACTCGAGTCCACGGATGTCTTAGACCGCGAAACACGCTGGTGGGAACGGGGTGTTAAAGAGGCAATATATGAAAGAATGTACAACCCCACCCTCAACAGGGAAGGGGGGCTACGGGTCGATCTTTCCGGCACTTGGGATTTGGCACTCCCAGCCCCGAGGACAGACAACACTTAAGCTCCTGTCCTGTATATCTACATCTACATCTATGAGTTTCTGAACAACACCCTCATGGGGCCTCACGTTCAGTTGTATAACAGGAGCTTTCAGACTAATTTGCATCATCTTGTCTTGACTTGTCTGACTTTTGTTCCTTTTTCGACTTCCAAAAATTTGTCTTCACTTTATTTGCATATCAATCAACAGGTTGTGTATATAAACCTGCTTTCCCCTCTGGTCTCTCAGTCACTGACGAAAGCTAGTGGATACTAGCTGAAACGTCTGACGTTTTCAAAATCATATCCAGTTGCTTGAGTAACTGTTTTTTGGCATATCAATTGAAATGTTTGTCGCACAAATTATATCATTGTCCTGTAATCATCTAAACAAAGTTGAAAACACAACACAAAGAAGACGTACCTGAAACCGGCATACTTGTCCTCCCCTTTCAGTCCCTTTTCTTGTTTATTCCAAAAAACAAAGTAACCCCAAAGCTTCGCAACTAAACATTACAATGTCTCCTGCTTGCCTGTTGTGCAATTTAGGGAAATATGCCACAAAAACGACGATAAAGAACACCTAAAATTCAACGAAACCGACAAGAATCACGATGACCTCTTCCCGCTATGTGTATTGACCCCGCGCGTCATCAAAACGTGTGTATCGATGACGTCATGAAAAGTTGGTGTGTGTGAAATCCCCGGATGTTCCTCCTCTTTGCAGCAGTGACTGAAAGGTAATGGTTACTTTCATATTGAGCCGCTGCACAATCGGACGAATTTCTCAGTAACAACAAAACATCAGTAAAAGATACTCTGTCAACTATTAGATGAATGTTTGTGGATGATTGTACCGTGAATAGTTTGTCGATTCTAGGACATTTTATTGGGTAAAAACGCCGCCGATGTAGGGATTGTTGCCATCAAAACCGAGCAAAGATGGCGGCCTCCATGCGACGGTGCTTGGGTGGTCACGTTGTCGCTCGAAGCAATAATGTGACTATCTTAGGATCCTTTATACAAGTCCCCTTTTCAAATCTTGCGCCGAATTGTCCAAAACCCATGTTTCTTTTCCTCGTGACGTCGTTTTCTTTCTTGAAAGTCCAGTCATAAGGTATCAAGGTATCATCTACATACCTGTACCAAAACTATCTGCTATCTTACGTTTACTATATCGGGTAACTGGTTGTGATTCTTGGCTTTCAAGCAACATGCGCAGTGATTCTATCAAAAGTAAGACTCAAACTTACGACACTCCAATAATTTATTAAGGCCACCGTGTAGCTATAGCTAACTAGTGAATAATAGAAAAGCCATAGAAAAAAGTTTAAATTTTGTCAGGTAAATTTCAGTGTAACGTTATGCTCGATTTGTCTAAAACATAACTTGATTTAGCATATTTTGATTCAGTAATTTAATTCCCCATGTGCCGTGTGTTTTTTGCAGTCAACATGCCTGATAAAAAGAAGAAGACTAGGCACTGCTCGCGCAATGCCACCCTCATTAAGGGGGTCGGCCGCAACAGCCGCTCCAAGATGTGGGCCAAGACCTTCATGTACGAGCGCATCAAGAAGGCACTGAAAAAACCCAGGTGGGTTGATACATGTAATACGCCATATTATCATGTATTGTAAAATGTTGACAGATTAGACTATAGTTGTTGACAATCAAAGTTATTTGCCATACATTGTACCTTTACCATAATTTGTTGCAATCATTCTGCAATAAGCTGACTTTTGTGAACAGCCTACTTTTTGTAACTGGAAGAAAATAGGGATATGCCACTGCCAGACAGATTTTGTGTTTGTTTCAGAGGAGGGTATATTTGGAGGGGCCACAGTTCACTAAGGGCATCATCACTAAATAGCTTTAAACAATGTTAAGAGTGAGATGTGCAAAGGTTAGGTGTAACAAGTTGTTTGATGTAATAATATAGCCAGCTGCCGTTGCGCCATGTGCCTGCGAAGCTGGTGTTATGCCAAGGCCAAGGAAAAAAAATGTTGTGTTTCCTGTTTCAGTCCAGAAAAAATTAGGGTCGGTAGGTAGGGATTATCTTATTTTATTTTTATTTTTTATTTTTTTTTAGACTTTGCTGATTGCTGTGTTTATATAAGCAGAACATGATGAAAAATCGATTGTGCAATATTATATTTCATCACTCAGGTACTCAGGTGTCAGATCATGGAAGATCACGGTCGATCAGCTCGAAGAACGTAACAGATGTCCCTAGCCCTTGCAGGGCTAAATTCAGATTCAGGTCCTGATTCAAGTCTACAGGTTTTCAGGGTTCTCCCAGGGATTTGGGAGAAAAAAAAGAATCAAAAAAGAATTCTAAAGAAAAAAAAATTAATCTGCACAAAATTTTAATTGGTTTCTATCCCTTTGTTTGCCTAAAAATCGATAGTGTGATTGTATCAATTTGAAACCCAAAAAATTAGCTAAATCGGCGATTTAAGGTTATTGCGCAATGGACGTGCCCTATGACCTTCAACCTTTGGGGGTCATGCAGGCGTCAACAGCGCCCTCCCCCATGCCTTGCCAGTCCGTTTTCGTGGGCAAATTTCTGCCTTTTTAGAGGTTTTGCGACCTAAAAACTCACATCAGAGGAAAAATACACCACAGACGACATTTTCATGGTAAATATCGATAAATGGACCCAGGCATTTTTCTGTCCCGTTGCCGATTTTGCTGATTTTCGCCATGTGCTTATAATTTGTTTACGTCGATAGCTACCTTTCCTCGTCCGGTTTTATGGGCAAATTTCCGCTTTTTTAGACGTTTTGGGACTAAAAGAACGACAAAGGGGGAAAAATAAATCATATACATTATTTTTATGAGAAATACTGCTATCATGGACCAGACATTTTTCTTTCGCGTTGCCGAATTTTTGCGGCCGCCGCATGCTGATGGTGCAGTACGGTAGGGAATTTTCTACGATTAGTTCGTAAAATTATGTATCGGCTTTTAAACTTATTTTCGGAGTCGATGGCTTTGTTTTACAAACAAATCAGACAAATTATTAGCGTTGTTTACACGACTTCAAAACGCTAGCGGGGCGCCCAATGTTCCACCAATGACAGCGATTCTCTCGGTAGCGTCGTGCAAAATGTTTTGGTTCAGCAATATGCAGGGGTCCACACAAAAATAAGGCTAGGGTCGGCGGTTTTTTTAGGGTCGGTCGGGAAACAGGAAACACAACATTTATTTTCCTAGGCCTAAGGGGCATTGAGTACTCAATGAGTATGGCAGTGAATTCCAAAGCAAAACTGTTCTTGGGAAGTACAAGTATCTGTAGCAGTCATTGTTAGCAATTTGTTGCCCATGTGCTTTGTTTAACATAAATTTTTTATTCCTTGATTCTAGGGCCAAGACAGAAACCAAGAAAAACACCAGGTTCGTCACCAAAGACATCGGCGGTGACAAGAATGGAGGCACCAGGAAGGTCCCAGTTAGCAGGACGGTAAGTTCCGCCGCGTATAGCACTAAGACATCGTTTATAGTCTGTGTGTTAAGACCTTTTTCATAGAAATTGTAGTTTTATTGTGGCATCATGTGGCGTAATGGTCAGGGTGTTTGGCTCAGAACCATGACATGGGGTCCTAGGTTCGATTCCCAGACATGTCCAATGTTGTGCCTTGGAAAAGGCGCTTCAAATGACTTCCCTCACTGTACATTGGAGTGACGCTCACCGGTCCTTTCGGATTATCGTTGATACTGTGTCCAAACACTGATGAGGACACATACAGATTGGGTGTTGTTAATTTGCCAAGGTGTGCACATTTGCCACTAAGATAAAAAATGGTACGTCAGTGAGGGTTAGACATCCAGGTAATAAGATTTGCTGTTTTTTTTGGCGTATCAGAACTGTACAATTTTTTTTGTATCGTGTGCTTCATCCATATGATTTATGTATTATGTGCTTTTCTCCCCACAGCCCAAGTATTACCCTACCGAGGACGTCCCTCGCAAACTGCGCAGCAGTAAGAAGCCGTTCTCCCAGCACAAGAAGAAGCTGCGTCCCTCCATCACACCAGGAACTGTCCTCATCCTGGTGTCAGGCAGGCATAAGGGAAAGGTAACTCATATTCAGTTACAACCTGTGTTAAACTTACAAGGATAACACCAGAGATGCAGTGTGCTTCCTAAGTTCCTATTCAGGGCTCGAAATACTGGGTTATGCATTGGAGCTGTGCAGGTATTTCTGATGTCTACCTGCATTGGTCCATGTGAATTTTTATTTGTTGCTTTGACTGCTACCACCTATGGAGGTACTATAAAAGAAATAATCAGTGCTTTCTGGATAGTTTCTAGTATGATCGAAACTTCCTAAAAAAAATGGTGCAGGTAAAATTTTCAATGCTACCTGCACCAGTGCAGGTATGCAGAAAAGTATTTTGAGCCCTGATACTGTGGATATATAACCCTTAACTTACTTAAACCAGTGATGATAACCAATTGATTGCACTGTGTTTATAACAGTCTTGCTACCCACTTTCTCAGTCCTGTATACTAAATTATGGCGATTGATAGACTGGTAGCGAAACTAACTTTCCAGGCAACACTGCAAAAAGCTCTGCTTGATCACCGTGAGCATGGCTTCAGCTGGTGTTGCCACAGTTAACAGATGACACACATGATGTATTTAATGAGGCATATTCCATAGATCAGGAGTAAAGAACAAAAATCTCCACGTAACTGATGAAATTTTATGTTGTCTTTTACAGAAAGTTATTTTCCTGAAGCAGCTGAAAATGTCTGGGCTTCTTCTGGTCACTGGTATGTAACACTTGTCATTGTTTTCTGTGCTTAGATCTGTTTCTCCACAGTATCTAAAGGTATGAGTTATAGTATTAGGTTTAAAAGATTATGGTAGTAATTGTTATGTGAAAGGAAACTTTCATAGTCTCATAGTCTGAGCATTCGTGTCCATGTGAGAGGCCCCTCATGTTGGATATATTTGTGCTTTGAATGAAAGCTCATCTGTGTTGGTAGAATCCGTACATGTAGTTCTGGAGTTTAAGCTTTGTTCCAACACAAGAAAAGAACCATGAATTTTTTGGTCGGACGGAGGTCGACTGAAAATTTATGGTGAGTTCTTTTCTTGTGTTTATTTTTATTCATCAGTTCAGCTTACAACAGCCAGGGTTACCCAACTAGTTGGTTGTTTCTTTTGTTGGAACGAAAACTCTACAACAGTAATTAATGCTTATTTGACTTGTTCTCTGCAGGTCCATTCAAGCTGAACGCAGTCCCCCTGCGCCGCGTTAACCAGATCTACGTCATCGCCACCAAGACGAAGATCGACATCTCCGGCGTCAAGCTGCCGACGCGCCTGAACGATCGCTACTTCAAGCGCAAGCGGCTGCGCAAGCCCAAGCACCAGGAGGGCGAGATCTTTGACACAGAGGAGGAGGTGAGATTTCAGTACTTTCTAGAAAATCTACAAAGACATTAAGTACATAAATTTATCCACTGAGACATATGAACATACATATTAGTCTAGATGACATGTACAATGGGGAAATCTTTGACACTGAGGAGGAGGTGATATTTATTTCAGTACTTTTCCTAACTGATCAGGGTTGGACAAAGTTTTCAAAAACCCACTTGAGTTACCGGGGCAAATACATAGTCGTATCCACTTGCCCAAATCAACTTTTTGCTTTCCGAAAATATAAATAACACTGGTCGCATCAATTTTGGAAAGTCACAAGGCATTTGGAAACTCAAGTAAAAATTGATTTTCAACATTCAAGTTTCACATCAGTGTGTAGCTCTTGGTGTAATGAGCACAGTGATATGAAAATTATTGTTCTGCAGTGTTCATAACTTAAGATATCATTAATAATAAATACAAGCAGACCGGTGGTCTTTCCTAACAGCCCATCAGGCCTAACAACTAGCCCGCAAGTTTTAATTACAGGACCTTCGGTCTAAAGGCACTAGACTACAGGTGTAGAATCCCAGCCCGCGGGCTGATTTACTCAAAAACCATTCAGACCGTCAGCCTAACTTCAGCCCGCGGTCTGGAATTTCTGGTCAAAGAGGTGCAAAAAGCCCAAAACAATGGCATGGAAGGCGTGAATTGATTGATGTTTGCAGACTGTCTGTGCCAATTTCAGCCTGGTGGGGTAAGGATTCAGACCTCACGGACTATATCTCAGCCCGCGGTCTGATCCAAGTGATGTGTAAAACTTCATTCTCAGAGCAGAAAATAAGGAAGGAGAGCATAATCCACACCCATCTGTTAACAGTGTTGTACATTTTTGCCGCTTTCAACCTCATTCACTCACTCAATCACTCAGCTTCACATGCTCTTTCCACTACATGTAGACCACAAAAAAGAAAGAAGAGCTTACAAACACGTTCTGTACCAGCTAGGGGTAGAAAATGAAACAATTTTTTCTCATGAGCATCCTGAATGTCATTGAAGTTCAGTTCAGTTCAGTTGAAACATTGGGAAAATTATGTTACAGACAGTTTTGCCAGACAAAATTCTAGTACTATATAATATGAGCAAGAAGCCTAATACATGCATTGCAACTTAAACCTGCTTTCAAGCAATGGAGTTATAAAATCCTCAGTCCATTTCTGTTCAACCATGGTTCAACAGTTCTCAGGTAATTATTCTGATCAAGGAACAATTGTTATGCGGGATGAAACTAAGTTTAGCTATTGTTCTTGACATGCAAATGCCACTGTCCAATTATCAAGTTGGACTATTGTTGAGTTACACGTCGAATTACAGTACCCCTATCTGGGCAGCTTGACTACTGGGTCACCCAGTAGGAGCCTGAAAAGATGACCGACTATCTTAAAAATAAAACTAGGATTCTCATCATTAATTTCTTGTTCATAATCTAAATCTAATCTAATCATAATACTACAAACTAGTTGAGGGATAGAAAGATTTGGCCAAGACATGGTTCTCAACGTGTGAACCCAGGCCATCTGACACTGTCATTATGTACAATGTCATAAGGTTTTCTGATTGGATATTTTTTCAGGCTATTGAGCTACCCAGTGCAAGCTGCAAAGACCATGTCACCCATGTCTGGGTACTAGTAGCCCGACCAGACTCTCTAATTTGATAATTGGACAGGTATGAATGATAACATGCATGGAAATTAATTTTGAAAATTTTCTTCCTGCAGGAAATTTCTGCAGGAAAAACCTACTAAGACATTGTAGATTCCTGCAGATAGAATCCTTCCTAGAAATTTCGGCAGGAATGACTGTATAATAAATATATACAACTGTTAGGCCACACCAATATACATGTAATGTAGTCTCCACCAGACTCCTTTGCAGGCTAAATAAATAGTAGCAATCAGCTAAGGCATGGAGGTAGCTCCATGGCTAAGGGGAACATCATTGGCCAGAGGAGTTGGCCGGCCATAGAGACTAAATATAATGCCATTACTTGTTTCTCTAGACTCATTCACTTGAAGAAGAATCCTGTTCTATAAAATTACAACATTACATCAATATTCTCTCAAGGTCACCTTAGTAATTGATCAATGATCATCTGATTTTTTGTATGTCATGACAATTCATGCAGTCTGATAACTCAATGAATGCTTTTGCTTCGGAAGCAAAAGCATCCCCTTTCTCTAGTTGTAAACACGTCTAACATTGATCAGATTCTGACTGGAGACTAACTTCAAGTTGTTGCTTGGAAGTTAGAACTTGTTAATTTTATCATAATCACCTCCCTCCCTTTG